GCAGGAATTCTCAAGCAGGTGGGAAATATAAGAGAGATGTAATTTCAAATAGCAATACCTCGAAATATTCTGATATTCTCTGCTTCTTCTCAAATATGACCCATATATGACCTCTGGCAAGAAGCAATCACATGGGTGCCATTTATCCTTACTTTTAAAATGTAACCTGTAATTAGTTTTTTGGGCAGAACTGTTTTCCTAACTACTCAATTAATATTAAATGCAATATTACATTAGACACAGGACTGGGCAGAAGAAGGAGCAATCAAGAAGGACATTTAAGACCAAATTAAATATATTTTCAATTACTCACGCCAAAGTTATCTGTGTCTTGATTATATAAAAATATTTTATTATAGTTATATGGTTTAATTAATCACTAAAACCACTGAATGTGGCATACATCTGTACCATATATGTATATATGAAGTCATAAGTTACCTCAAATATCATGTGTTAATTCCATATAGTTAAAACAATAAAGGGCCAGTAGATGGTATGGTGGATAAGGGCGCTGGATTCCCACATGGCCGATCATGGTTCAAGTCCCGGAACTGGTGGCTTGCTTGCTTGCTTTCCCTTTCTCTCTCTCTCTGGTGATCAAATCAAAAAAACTAACAACACATGGAATTAATTAAATAAGTAATTATTTAAAAAGCAAACAAACAAACAAAAACAATAGAGAGCTAGCCTGTAGCACAGTGGTTAAGGGAACCAAAACCCACATGGCCAACTGCAGTTCAAGTCCCAGCACCCATGGCTTGAAAAATACACTGGGCACATGTCTATGCCTGCCTAAAATCCTGGTGAGATGGAAAAATGAAAGAGAAAGGACTGTAGCATGGCCATGCCCCAAATGGGGTGTGCTTTCTCTCTCTCCCTCATGAGTATACACACCCTCTGGCAACTTTAAAAACAAACAAACAAAAAAAGAACTACCCAAATCACTTACGAAAAAATAAAACAGGGCAAGAAAGTATGGAAATCTCTTCTAAGATTTCAAGATGTCAGAATGCTAATAACAGAGCAAGGAGTAACCCCCAAAATTTTGCAGATGTGACAACAGCAGGCATACTCTGAAAGGCACTTCTGACAATGAACCTCTATCCATACCAATACGGAGCTGATCATGAAAGCTGCTACATGTATAAAGACTAACACCAAAGACAGAGAAGTCAAGTATAACCGAAAAGCCACACAAACAAAAAAATCAAGTTAAGTCTCTCCCCTACCCATTTTCTAAGATCTTTAAACCAAAAGTTTCAAGCATATCAGAAAACATGTTCATTCTGAGATAGGCTAGTATTTCTCATTTTAAGAAACAATGCTACTGGGACCAGCAGATGGCATAATGGTTATGTTGCTGGATTTCCACATAGTCAACCACAGCTCAATACCTAGACTTGGTGACTAGGCGCATGTGCGTGTATGCCCAAAATCCCAAGAGGAAAATGGAGAAGGGATTGCAGTGTGGCCATCCCCTCGGGTGGTGATTTCCTGCTTTCTATTTTTCTGTCTCTGTCTCTCCAGCAAGTGCATGCACCCTACAGCAAAAATCTCTCTTTAAAAAAAAAAAAAAAAGGGACCAGCATAAGCATAATGATTACATTGCTGGACTACCATGTAGTCAACCGTGGTTCGAGTCCCGAACCTAGCAGCTTAAATTCACACCGGGCACATGTGCATGCATGACCAATATCCTGAGAGGAAGAGAAGGGATTACAGCATGGCCACCCCACCCTCAGGGTGATTTCTCATTTTCTGTCTGTCTCTTCAAGGAGCTCAGGTCCCTATAGCAAAAATCTCTATGAAAAAAACAAACAAACAATGTTACCTCCAAAACTGGGACATACAGTCAGAATATGTAATTACAAAATCTGGGAAGAAAATAACATACATAATTTATTACAAGTTTGAATATTCATCTAAAATATTTAAAGACAAAAAATATTGAGCACCATATCCCATTCACAGAATGACCCTTTCCATCAAAGTGAGTTTTATATCAGACAATCAAAAAAACAAAACAATCAGTTTAACATTCCCTAGGCCATTAAAAAATTTTTTTTTCCTAAATTTTGCTACACAGTGTGTGTATTATAATACCTTAGAGAATTAGAAAGGAGAGAGAAAGTGAGAAAGCATTAAAGGGGGATGGCCATGCCACAGTCTCTTTTCCATTCTCTTGTTGGGATTTTGGGCACACACATCTCAGGATTTTGGCCATGCACACATACATGCCAGGCATGTTTTTCAGGCCAGGTCCAGGACTCAAAACCACACAGTCATCCATGTGGAATTCAGCTGCCTGAACTACCACTGCAGTGGCTGACCCAACATTGCTGAGTTTTCAAGAACTGTTATCCCACTAAATACTTTCATTGAAAAATATTAAAAGTTCTCAAGTAGCAAAAGCTACTCTTAATTTTTATTGTTTAAAATTAAAATATTGGGGCCAGCGGGTAACAAAGTGGTTAAGTTGCTGGACTTCAATGTGGCCAACCTTGGTTTGACTCCTGGACCTGGTGGCTTGCTTTCTCACCTTTTCTCTCTCTGTCTGTCTGGTGAACACACATGCCCTGCAGTAAATTTAAAAATAATGGTGACAAGTAAAATGAAATAGTAATTCTTAAAAAAAAAAGAAAACTAAAATATTATTTCTAAAAGTCATCAAATGTAATCTCACCACCCAAAAAAAAATAGGTATCTTCTAAAACATGACTACTAATCAAGAAATCAAGTGATTTTTATTTATCTACAATAAGATGTGATTAGGTTCATTCCAATCTTTAAAAAAAAAAAGGAAGAAATTAACAGACTTCTCCATGGAGAAGAGCCACAAAATCCTGGCTATAAAGGCCTATGCAAATCAAAAATTAATTATACTACATTTTTAATGACTAATTAATAGAAAAGAGAAAGAAAGCTGACTGTGAAATAAGGGAAGGAAGCATATCTGACATTTACATTGATTTGGAGAAAATGGGCATTCTCAATTATTACAACTAGTGGCAATGATGATTTCTTGGGAAAGCTAATATTCAAAGAGCTTTTCCACATCACCAATTATCTCATTTTTATCTACTTTAAAATGAATGGCTGATTCTCTTATTTAAATCACCCAGTTAGATGACACACTCAATGCACACTGCTAAGATGCTGTGCTCCACAGGCTGGGGCCACAAAGCAGGCCAGGTTAAATTCCTATCTAACCTAAAGCCTGGCATAGTAGCTGTATCTATAATTCCATCAACCCAAGAAGCTGAGGCAGGAAAATCACAAGCTAGAGGCTGGCTAGGACAACATAGTCAGACCCTGTCTTTGAAAAGGCCAAGCATGATGGTATGTATGCATTGTAGTCCCAGCTGGGAGGCTGAGACAGGATGGACACTAAGACCTTGTCTCCAAGGGGGGGAGGGGGGGAAGAGAAAGAAAAAATATATATATAGACAGAGTGCTCTTTAAGTAATATGTTAATCTTCATGATTTCTAAATGTTGTAATAATGTCTTAATTTAGTTTTCTGCACAATGTGGAAGTTTTTTGGTCAATTTGTTTTTGAAATCATCACCATTTTACCCACTCCCAGGACTAGGGAATAGAGTGAATAATTATTCTTCACGCATTGGCAAAAATAAACCAAAATTGTGAGAAATACAGCAAACACATAAACCTCATTGTTATTTGAATGAGTGCAGGGAGCTCTGGAGTATAGTATCTGCCTGTAATTTAAGGACTACCTTTGGAGGTAAACCAAGAAAGACAGTAACACTATCATTACGTATCCCACTAAATTTTCCTAAGAACTTTGATCAAATTCTCCTAAATAGCTTATGCATGTCTCTGTGTGCAGCCATAAGCACTGACGAAGAATACTTACAATGAAATAACCGGGGATGTATGTCTGAAAATATGCAAATATGGTTTATTAAAGTGAAAGTAGGGCTGCAAAATTCAAATGCCAGGTCTGCTAAGGTATTCTAGGGACAGAGAACGTGTTAGATCTGTTAATGAGACACCTGTTAATGAGGCACGTACAAGAGAAGCTAGTGTAGTTAGTTCCTGTTTCTTCTTCAGTGAGATACTAGGCAGGTGGATGACAGGACCCTGGGAGACCCACACGTGTGTCTACATCCCTTTTCTCTCCGAACCTCACTCACCTCATCTTACTCTTTTTCTTCACACACATACACATTCTCCCATCACATTCGAAGACCCTAGGTGCCCCAGGAGGCAGCTTCCTAGGAACGTTTCGCTGGTGCGTTACATGGGATCTGACGCCACCGGGCAGCAAAGGGACGAATGCCACCCCCGCCAGAGCCCACGGCTCACCTCTAGCTTGTGATTGATTTGGGACACGGTCTGGGCTTTGTGGCAAAGCTGCGCAAAGCAGGAACTCAGGCTGGTCATCTTCTGTCGCCCCTCGTAAGTGATGTCCGCCTGATCCGGATCGATCTCACCCAGGAGCAGATCCACATCCACGAAGGCCTTGTCGAATTCCTTCTCCAGCACCTCCAGCCACCGGAACATGGATACCCCACCAGGGGAGACCCCCACGGCACAGGAGGCGCCTCCCGGGCGCCCTCCGGCTCCTGCCGGGCACGGGCCGCCAGCCGACATGGCGCCGTCTAGGGCCTCCCCTGACTGCGGCTGACCCTCGCCGCCCACTCCGCGCGAAGGGAACTGCTGGGACTGCGGGGACCCCTGCGCGCGCTCGTACGATTCGTCGGCCCTCTCCCTTCCCCTCGCGCTGCTAACGCCGCCTAGGTAGCTGCAGAGGGGCAGGAGCAGCGAGGCAGAGGCGGCGGCCGTGGCACAAGGAAGACTCAGTCAGTCCCACCTCCCGGCCCGCCCCCGCTGCGCATGCGTAGCGAAGAGCTGGGAGGACGCAGCCCGTAGGGACAGAGTGGGCGGGGCCAGTCTGCAACCCTGGCCTATGAAAGGCTCCGCTTGGGACGGGCCTGTCAGCGGCCATATTGACAACTGGCAAACTCGAGCTCGAATGCCGGAGAAGCGGGGGCATCCAGTGTCTCATTTCCAAGTTGGAAAGTCCGAGGACGAGAAGGATGTCCAGAAAGGACACGTCGCAGAAAGGAACCTCTTCCGCCAGTTTGACTCCTTAGTGGGTGGGAGCCATTCTAAAGTCGTCTGGGAAAGTTGTTGCGGTGGCGTCTAGGGGCATGGAGTGGACAGCAAGGAAGGGCGGTGTGAGCATGTGCAGTAGCCACGTTTTACCTTTTCCATTCCTGTTCCTGGTTAGGGTGGGGTGGGTGGACACATTGACTGTTCTTGGCAAACAAACTTCCAGGTAGAAATTGCATAAAGGTGCACGTCGAAGCGGCTGCTCAGGTTTTGCTGAATAGAAGTCATTTTTGTGTTGTGATTAATGAGTCAGTTCAAGTATTACACCCTTAATACCTTCGTTGTATTATTTTAACCTCAAAGCCTACTTTCCAAAATTTACTTCACTCAGTAATAAGGTAAAGTTGTTAGCATGAGTGCTTGGCACTTGCTGTTCGTCTTCTTACAAGTCATACAGTTCGATAGTAACTACTTTAAAAGATGTATCGATAGATTTCAGAAACTGGTACAGTGTCCCCACATGTTATATTTCAGTACACAAAACTATAAAGATTCAAATAGTCATAAATATATTGAATGCAGACCCTTGTTGAGGCCCCCAAATGAGTAAGACATGACCTTCATTCAACTCGTAGGCTACTCACCCTACTGACTCTCACAGCTATAATTTTAATTTGGACTTTTTAGTGCCTTCTAGAGAATTCAACTGCTTTCTTACCTTCCACCTACTCACTCCCAACCCCCTTTAATTTTGGGATCAGCCAGTCCTAGAAAGGGAAGGCAAAAATCATTGTGAGAATTGGCTAGTAGGACGGTCCCCACTGCATCACCTAGGGAATATTTCACTGGCTGAGTACAGTTTTCTCTGATTCGTTCTTGGGACAGACCCTTCCAGTTAATCACCACCTAAAGCCTGCTGTGTGTGCCCCTCTCCAACACAATACCCATGAAGAGCAGGAAATCACAGCTTCAGTTTGCACTCTGGCTACTGCAGGGCAGACTGGGTAGCACCAAACAACATTTTTTGACCTCAGCAAACTTACCTAAACAAAACTAAACATTAAATTTTTGCCTTGAGCTTAAAGAAAGAGCTTCACACAGGTTTTAATACACAATAAATAATGTAAAACTAAAGTTTGCATCTTCATCTCCTTCCAAAATTAACTTCATTTTCATATGCAATATTTTTGAAAACATCATTGCTATACTACCAAGCTCTGAAAAACTTTCTACATAATATATTTAGTCAGCAGTGCATTTTCAGGAATTTGAAATAATTAGCAGAGAGAATATGTGGAACCATAATAGTAATAATAATTCAATAATTCAATATTTAGTATGCATTAGGCGTTTGTTATTTGCTTGCTTCTTTGATCCTCACAAAGTCCTGTGAGACAGGTATTATCACTTATTTATAGATAAGTTATAGAGAGCTCAAGTATCTTGGTAAAGTTTCACAGCTAGAAAGTGATTGAGGCAGAATTTCAACCTACGTGTCCCTGTTTTTTTCAGTCTTTGCTGTTAGTTATGGTATATGATAAAAGGATGAGGCAATTCATTTCTTTTTGTGTAAGTTACCGGCATAATAAACTGACAAGTTCCAAAAGAAAGAAATTTCCCAGTTATAAACCACACACAACTATATTAACATAAGAAGTATTACCAAAAAGTAATTGTAATACTTATTTTCTATTACAACTCTCTTTATATGGACCACATTTGAATATAAATTTAATTTCTTTAAAAAAATAGCGGCTCTTTTTGTTAGAAGATTATTTTTAAAGAAATGAAATTTAGGGAACCAACAGTTAGCATAATGGCTATGTCGCTGGACTCCCACGTAGTCGACCGTGGTTCGCGTCCTGGACCTGGTGGCTTAAAACTCATGCCGGGCGTGTGTGCGTGCATGTCCAAGATCCCGAGAGGAGAACAAAGGAGAAGGGATTGTGGCGTGACCATCCCCCCCTGGGGGGTGTGACCATCCCCCCCTGGGGGGTGATTTCTCGCTTTCTGTCTCTATGTCTCTCTCTGTCTGGCGAGCGCACGCACCCTATAGCGAAAACCTCTCAAAAAAAAAAAAAAGAAAGAAATTTATATTCAGGTGTGGTCCAGATATCTACGTGGGTGCTACTGAGCTGCATTTTAGGTGTTTACATTTGTTTAATAATGCACTAATGATTAGTCCATTTTCAGGACTGCAGAAGCCAGATCCATTTTTGGTACAGCTTTTGTCTTATTGTCCCTTAACATTACTGTGCTTTGTAGCAGCTGCTGCATCCTTTTGTGCTTGTCATCTTGGTTCTACATGACATGAGGTCCCTCTATGTATACATAACCTTTCACTCATCTTGACTGGAGTTTTGCAATTTTGCAAGTCACAGCATAACATGGAAAGGAAAAAGTCTTGATGTTCAAGTGCTGCCATCTGTTGTCCGTGTGTTCTCTCTACACTTATTATCTACCTACTCTGGAATTTGGAATTGTTTATAATCTCAGTACTTGCAGGATTTGTTTTCCCACAGAGAGTAAAACGTTGATAACTTTATTTGCAGTTGGATTGGCAGAAACTTTAAGAATTACTTATTTATTATTATTATTTTTAACTTGCTATAGGGCACGTGTGCTCACCAGAGAGACACAGAGATAGAAAGTGAGAAAGCAAGCTGCCAGGTCCAGGACTCAAACCATGGTCAGCCATGTGGGAGTTCAGCACCCTAACCACCACACCATATGCTGGCCCCAACAAACTTTCAAAAACTGTTTCATGAATCATGCTTGCATGATTTTTAAAAATCTGATGTGACTTAAATGTGAGAGTCTTGTTTTAGGACTGTATCTCTACAGAGTGTTGCAACAAGGAATTACTGAGAATAAATAGGATGGGCACTAAGGGAGCTGAGGAAAAAGGGAAAAAGATGAGGATTTCTTTGAGAGGTACTCTCGTGAGATTAGTGTATAGTTTAAATACTCAGCAGCATTAATTACAAAGGCACTTAAAGGACATATAAGATCCACCTTGCATTAGAAAAGGAGACTATTATATTAAATTTATTTATCATTATTATTTTTAAATTTGCTAAAGAGCATATGTGCTGACCAGAGAGAGACAGACAGACAGAGAGAAAGCAAGCTGCCAGGTCTGAGACTCAGACTGTGGTCCACCATGTGAGAGTCCAGCACCTTAACCACCACACCACCTGCTGGGCCCATGACGCTCATTTTGAACTCTATTGCAGTCTAGACCCTTTACTAGGCTTTCTGTGTCTTATTTAATTTCCAGTAACCAGGAAAGGAAAGGGGGAAAGGGATTAAGTGCTATTGGTGGCTATCAACAATTGTGTGAAAAACAGGAAAGTTGAGGACAGCTGGCCCTATAGGGCAGAGATTAAACACTGAGTGGAGGAACTGGGGCCTTCAGGGCCCACCATGGTTTGATTCCATTGCATGTCCAGAATCCTGGGGAAAAGAAGTAAAAAGGGTTGCAGCATGACCATGCCCCATTGAGGGGTGACTTCTGTCACTTTCTCTCTTTCTCTCTGGTGAGCACACATGTTCCGACCAAAAAATATATACATATAAAAATTAAAAATAAAGGAGGTCGAGGAAAATCCACAACCATTTTACTTGAGCAATGTAGGAAAGTCTTGGAATATTGTATTCATGTGTATTATTTATATGTATTAATCATATTTACTAACAATTTGAAATTTTCAGAAAGACGTGCTATAGAAGTAAGTTTGTGCCTCCCAAAGGGACAAATGAGCCTCATTCTCTGTATAAACAAGTGGAACTGTTGTTTGCTGTCTTATTCTTACAACCTGAAAATTTTAGTAGGAAGTGATTTAAAATTAGCTCAGACACTCCTCTTTTTTTGTTTTCTTTTTTTTCCCTTTATTTTTAGAGAGATTTTTCCTGTAGGGTGCATGTGTTTGCCAGAGAGAGAAAGCGAGAAATCACCCCCCTGTGGGTATGGCCATGCCACACAATCCATTCTCCTCCATTGTCTTGGAATTTTGGGCAAGCATGCACGTGTACCCAGCATGAGTTTTAAGCCACTGGGTCTGGGACTCGAACCGTGGTCAACTATGTCAGAGTCCAGTAACATTACCATTATGCCATCTGCTGGTCTCCAGACACTCCTCTTTTAGAAAACCTTCCTTCTTTCTCCTCATGTGAAGTAACAGACTCTATCTATGTTTAGTTTCCTGGGAATACCTGCTATAGCATTTGTCGTATTCTTTTGGAGTCCATTTGACTGAGCTTCTTGGCAGCAATATCCGTATCTTGTGTATCTTTTTTTTTAGACCAGAGAGGAAAGCACCCTCCCATCAGCTGTGGTCACACTGCAGTCCTTTTTTCCCTATTTCTTCATCTTGCCAGGATTTTGGGCATGCACATACAAGTGTCCGGCATGTTTTTCGAGCAACTAGGGCCAGAATTCAAATCACCATCTGCTATGGGATTCAGCTCCCTATGCACAGAACTTAACCATTTTGGGAGATGACCTTGTGTCTGTGTTGATCCCAACACAGGACCTGAGTATGGTAGAAATGCTATAATTATCAGTAATTTAGATTCCGTAATTTAGCTCTTCTAGCATTCTACCTAAGAAATGCTAAAGGTAGTCATTTTTCAAGACATTGCTTTGATTCATGTTAGAGAACCTAGATAAATAGGTTTTCATCATGTCTCAGGGATTTGGGAGATTTATAAAATACATGTTAGTCTTTGAAGACTTAAGGAATGTTTTTCCCAACCTGAAGAGAAATTTTTATTTAATAGTGATCTGGCTTATTTGACTGGTAAATACAACATAAGTTAGGCTTCAAGAATTATTTTACCTATTTAATTGTTAAGATTCACCATATATGACATTTTGTACAGTGTATGCAAACCTAAAAACAAAATATAACAAAAATTTTAATCCATGTCACTGCATTTATGTTCCCTTACACTACCAAAGAATGACTATCCCAGTTTTTCTTGCCGTCACCTGTTCTACATTCTTCATATACCCTTTCCCACAGCTCTAGTTTGGTTCAGC